ATCACCAGCGGCACGCCCAACTCGAGCACGCGCCTGACGAAGCTGGCCGTCCCCCCGCCCGGGTCGCGGAAGGTCTCGTTGTTGAGGTAGAGCAGCGCGCGCGTATTCGGAGCGAGCTGCGCCCGGGCCTCGGCGGCGGCGGCGGCGGCTGCGGCTGCGGCGGCGGCGGCGGCGGCGGCGGTGGATCGCCGGTGGCCCGCAGTCGAGACGGCAGAGCCACGGGATGGCAACCGACAGCTGAGCGAGGCGAGATCTGGCAGCGCCGCGAGGGCAGCGCGGCCGTCCTGTAGCAGCAGTGCGCGCGCGCGGCGCGCGCCTCTGCCAGCGCGCGGCGTGAAGGGCGTGTGCTGCTCCCAGGTACTGCGCGGCGCCATCAGCTCGTCCTCGTCCACCGCCTGCTGAAGCTGGGTCGCGAAGCGGGGGGCGCCCGCGTTGGCCTCGCACACCAGCAAGTGGACCGGAACCTCGAAGCGCATGCAGCCGAGCTCTCCAGGGATGAAGAGGCCGGGAGCCAGCTGGTGCACCCCGGCGGGACGCGCAAAGGAGGGCGAGGCCGCGAGCAGCTGGTGGGCGATCTGCTTCAGCGACTCGCGCTGGAACTCGTGCGCGCGCAGCCAGACGATCAGCTCGCGCGCAAAGACGGCCTCTGCGACGCCGGCGGCCGCGTCCGAGCAATACGCAGCGCACTCAGCACGGAAGTCGGCGGCGCTGCCCCCACCCTTCTCCTCGTTGCCCTCGCGCACCACCACCAGTGGCTTGCCCTGCTCCATCGCCGCGTACAGCTCGCGCCGGCAGTTGCCGCTCTTGAAGTAGCCCGCCGAGAGGAAGACAAGCACGGCGGCCGAGTCGGCGACGCAGCTCTCGAGGGAGGCGAGGTTGGAGAGGTTGTCGACGTCTAGCCAGATCCGGACGCCGGGCATCAGCAACTGCAGCTGCCGCACGATCGTGTGTGCTTGGTCCTGGCCGGTGCCCCAGACGTGCGAAAGGAAGCCGTGGAAGCTGCAGCCCTTTGGCAGCTCGAGGATTGGCTCGCGGCCGCTGAAGACGAGTCGGATTGTCGGGTCGCGCGCCGAGGCCACTATGCGCCACGTCACCACCAACGAGAGGACCGCGAGCATCGCGCCGCCGAGGACGATTGCGACGGTGGTGATGTCCTCTGCAGAGTCGATCCCGAAGTACGCGGCGCACTCCTCCGACGCGACGGAGGCGCCGCCGGCGTCGGTGCAGATCTTGATTGCGATGCCCGAGAGGAAGGTCGAGGCGAGGACCAGGTTGGCGCCCACCGCGAGTTGGAAGTCGTCCACCCGCGCAAACGGCTGCGCGAAGCAGAGGACCGAGAGGTACATCGTCGTGCCGAGCGTGGCGAGGTAGAGCCGGAGCAGCTTCGTGGACCCGTCCTCCGTCTGGACAAACAGCATGTAGCAGGCGAGGCAGAGCTTGCGCATCGTGTCGAGACATTCCCACCAGTACTGTCGCGGCTGGTACTCGCCCCACAGGAAGCGGAGCGCCTCTGCGAGCCGCGACTGCCGCCGCGAGACGATGCAGCGGCGCGCGGCGAGCAGCAGCGACAGGAAGCAGAGGGGTACTCCGACTGGCCAGAGAAGGAAGCCCGCCCAGAAGAGCGGCTGCAGCGCCTCGTACTCGGCGCTGCCGCACTCGATGCGCCAGTCGGCGCGCAGGTAAGACTGCGTCTCCCCGAGCTCGTCGTCGAGGCGGAAGGACTCGCACTGCTTCGCGTTGAAGACGTTCTTAGCCACGGTCGGCAGGCAGGCGTACGCGATGATGACGGAGGCGCGCAGCACGCAGGTCGAGGCAACCGCCGCGCGCTGCTCCTCCAAGTCGGCGGCCGCACGGTATCCGTGGTACAGCGCCGGGATTGCCACCGCACAGAGGATCCACGCCACGGCGAGCGCAAAAGGCCAGAGAATCCACGTTGCCATGCGCGTGCCAATCGGGCCGAGGCAGGTGCTGTGCAGAAGCTCGGGGTCGAACACCCACTCAAACGCTAGGAGCCTCACCGTCTCGAGGAACTGGCGGTAGCCCGGGACAGCGACGTCGACGCCGTACACCGGCTCGAGCGTGTCAAAGACCTGGTAGAAGGAGAGGAAGATCTTGAGCTTGCCGACGAGCCCGATCTTTGGCAGGGCGCACACAAAGAACCAGCGGGAGAGGCTCTTCAGCCGCCCGCTTAGCCGGTGGGCGAGGCGCGCGAGGCCGACCGCCAGCAGCACGACAAAGACCCACGCGTGCTCGCGCAGTAGCGCCGCCGCGGTCGGGCAGTCGGTGCACTTGAGGTGGCGCCGGTCAAAGTGCTGCGACGGGAGCTCGCACACCTCGCACCGCACGCCGGTGTGGCCCGGAAAGCACAGGCTGTCGCCGGCGCCCCCGACACAGGGCGAGCGGTAGCGCCCGTTGAGCCGATCGATGTCGGACTCGGCGAGCTGAGCCGCGTCGGCGGCGGCGCTGCGCAAGAAGGAGGACTCACCCGCCAGAAAGGAGAGCGCCGACGCCTCGGCCTTGGTGCGGCACTGCTTGATGTCCGTCG